CAACAGTCCCATGATCTGTGTAATATGTGACCTAGGTTACATGGAGAATGAAAAAGATAATAAGAAGAATAATCTATATATAAAACATTTCTTAACAAGGTTACAAGGTCCTGCACAAATAAAAGCAATAATGAACATCACACATTTACAATATGAAGAATATAAGATACTGCCCAAAAGGGATTTAAAAGTGCACCAAGTCAGCTAACCTGAGATCTTCAGGTAAACTATTCCATTACCTCGGGCCTGTGACTGCATGACTACTGAGGATCTCAGATTACGAGTAAAAAACACATGAGGTCAAAAGGTCTTATAAAATGGAGCAAAGACCAAGAAGGGCTTTTTATGTTGTTAAAATTTTGAAAAGAATACTTTAATTTTTGCAATACTTCTAATTCAAAGAAAGCAAGTGTAACCGAGCAGACAGTTCATTCAGACCAGATAAGGTTGCAAATAAAGATAATTGTGCGTTGCTGCATATGATGTGTTAATTTATTTCATTCACATCTTAATACAAAATTCTTAGAACCAATAGGAAATCATACAAATAAAAATCAACAGAGACCAGACACATGTACGGAATTATAAAAGCTTGTGATAAGTAACAAAAGTACAGTTAAACCTCATAGGGCCAACACATGCTGGTGCACAAACCAAAAATCACTCACACAGTAAAACCAAAAAGACACTGATTATGTACCCTACCGCCACCACATGGATGGAGGGGGAAGACCATATCCTTTCAACAGCTGCACACTTAAAAAAGAGTGAAAAAAGAATTGACTAAAAATGAGTAAAAATAACTGAGCTAAAAATGAAACACAGCCAGTATCAACATCAATGAATCTGAAAAAAAGCAAGCCAAATTCTTAAATAAGAATAAGATACAAATGTAAATTTGTTGAAAACACAAGAATAAATAAACCAATGTTACATAAGGCGATACAGGCAAAGCAGCACTGACTTTAAAAAATTGTATTTAATTAATAAATTTATAAAATTATCCATGAACTTAATTTTACTTCCAAAAAACAAATTTCTTCACACTTTTATAACAAAACTTGCATAAAACTAACTAATTCAATGTGGCTCAGAAATTGCAAGGTTTGAAAATAGTCAAATGGCATTCATCAATGTCAGACGTACTGAGAGCTCCCCAATAAAGGCACTACTAAAACTTCCAAGGTAACCTACCAAAATTTCCAAATGAGACAGAATTACATTTATGAGAGATCATGTGAATAGCCAAACCACATATAACTAAGGTTATTCTCTACGCATCGCCTGCAAGCTAATCATAGTTTCACATTTTACAGAAGTCCCTTGAATGCATCACCACCGAGCTCGCGCTGTTCAAACGGCAGGTCACAATGGAAGGGGGAAAAAAACGTACGGTTTCTGCAGAACAAGTAGCTCAGACGAATGTACAACAAAAAGTCAGTTAGGTCTGGAGAAAAGTAAAAAAAATAATACGTTTAAGATATCCAAGAGTTTGAAGTGGAACTGACTAAAGCTGGCAGTATTCCTAGAGGGAGAAAACTACTATGCCGATTTGCCGTGACAGAGAGCGGGTCATCAACCACGTCAGGCGGTTACTGCAAGCTAACGTGGATTATTCTGGTAAGTTAGCTACCTGAGTTAGTTGGTTAGCAAAAAAAAAATGTTGTAAAAGAGTTCAGCTGCTTGTTATTTTATTTCAGGAATGTCATAGAGCTAAACCAGGCAGGATATTATGTGTGGTGTGAAGTGAATATACTGTAGTTGATAGTATTGAGTTGTTTAGCTACCCATTTCTGTCAGCTTGATTGAGGCCTAGAATCTAAATTAAGCCAAGAGCCACATTCATAGCCACTGCCATAGCATGTATATATATAATGTATAGTTTAATTGTGTTAAAGCTGATAGATATGTACTGTGAAATGTTAATGTGCAACATGTATTCATTTGAAATTGATAAGCACATTGGAAAAAAGATAGGAGTGATTGTTTAGTCCATAAGTGTTTATTATAGTAAATCTAATGTATTGTTTGTTCCAGTATGAACTGAAAAGAGACATTCAATTTATAGAATCACTGACTTAAAAAAAAAAAAAAAATTTTAAGGGAAGATTCCTTCTGTTGACAATGAGTGCTGTCCAGATCATCATAGCAGCTTGTTAGAAGGCCTTGTCTCACCTTGAGACTGATGTGTGGATGGTCTGCTGTTTCAAGAGGTGGTAGGGAGCAAATCATATGGAAAGATTTACACTAAAACCTAACAAGTCACAACCTTAAACAAATCCAAGACTAAAAATAAAAACTGATATATTTAAAAACCAAGGGTAAGTAATAACTTTAAAGGAGCTTTCAGTGTAAAGGAACTTAAACTATATAAACATATAACCTTAAGGAACTTAAAAGGAAAAACTTAAAGGAAGAATAAAGACCGGTAATAGAAACACTTTAAAGGATACATTTAATTTTTTTGTGTGGGCATTTATCTGGTTTGATCTAATTGTACTTTGTGTTGTTGATTGTATTACAATTTATTTTAATTGTTCATGTCAGTTGTGGATTTGGTCAAGAGGAAGTGTTTTTAGATGATAGACAGATACTTTATTTAGTTATTTTAACCCTCTAGAGTCGGATATTCCACCCGTGGGATAGAACAAATTTCATTTAAACCACTTAAAGTAGGGTGTAAAGTGAATTTAATTAGTAAAACTATATGAGCGGAAGAACAGCATGAGTGTCACATTTCGACAGTATGAGTCAGAAATCAGATGTTCATGATCCACCCATTTGCAAATAGAGCTATTCATATGACAACGACATTGTAATCCGGTTGTAGTTATTGGGTGATTATGAGGCATGAAAACGCGTGAAATGCCTAATTTACCTCCTGTAAACAAGAGCACATGTTGGGGTTGTTTACATTGACGGAGAAAGATGGTGCATATGGTTCCCCGCTGCTGCAGCCTTGGATTGACGATGTCTACAAGTTCTTCTCGGATGAAAGTGGTGAAGCTTCGACTTGATCCCACTGAGGGTGTGTGTGATGAGTAAGTGAGTTAGGTTAATCCTGTCAATTCTGCACAAACACAGCACATGATATCACTTTCTATAGCTAAGACTTCTGTTGTGTTGTAATGCAGCTGCAGTGGCTAAAACAGCAAAGGAGATTGTATAAAAAGACTCAATACCTAAGCTAAAGTTTGATAGCAGTTTACCTTCTCAGTCTTTGCTCCTTTATTTGTAATGCAGTAATGTTCAGAGTAACCCCCTCACCGATGAATTATTTTATGTAGCATCATCATATCAGCTCATGTAGATTAATATTGTGTGCTATACAAAATGATCATTCGAGCCAACTAAGTCAGACTCATGGAGATTAAGACAATTAGTCTCATTAATGTAGGCTGTTTGTAATTCATAAGTCAGGTGTAAATGATCAAGATACTTGTAAACCTGTTTTATGGCTACTGCATGTGTAAATTAAATGCAAATTATATGTTTTAAGGTGTAAATAGATTCCCTCTGTTGCTGAAGAACTATCGTACAGTGCTAAATATATAAATTAAATTTAAATTGTATGTACTTACTATAACCAAAATATATTATTAGCAGCTGAAATATTGCACTTAAAAAATAGTTGATTTTTGATGAAAGGGCAGCTGTTCACATTTTTTGTCGTTCATTATTTTACAGAAATGTGGAGATCATTGCACCTGCAAGGAACAAAGCATGGTGTCAGCCCAGTCAGCAACCACTGTCATGTAAAACACTCTGTAATGACGATGCTGCTTCACCACCACTTTGATTTTCTACCTGCAAGGGAGCCTGATGTACAGCTGATCACAAAGGGTGGCCACACTTTTCTGGACCTCTTTAAGTTGCTGAATTTTACAAATAGATTGGACTTATACTCTTACATGGCCATGATCAAGCTGGGTAACATAACTGATTACTGCCGGAAAAACAGCATCTTTACCATCCCTTCCCCGTCACAGATGATGTGAGGGGACAAATACTGGACCATACCCTGGAATGTACAACAGTCACCCAGATGAGGACAGAGTGAATGATACCAAGAGGGGAACCTCAGAACATGACAGACTGTTCTGGGTCAAACCCTCATACATGAGCGACAAACCAACTAAATGGGATTTGAAGTTGTTTGTGCTTGCAGACTCCAGCAGTAGTTACACTGTGGACCTTTCTGTATACACCAGAAAGAACAACTTCCCCACAGACCAGGGACTCACTTGTACTCACTTGTACACGTGTAACTTTATTCATCCTGAAGCACATTCTTGTGCCAGTTATTACTCAAATTTTGTACTATTCCAGTAATTGAATGTGCTTACACTTTCCATTCATAGAAATGTTATCCATTGTATGTTTGGATTTGAATACAGCATGCCACTCAGCTCAATGACGGGGACATACATCACTGTTCTGCATGGAGGCTCCATCCACAAGACCAATGTCATTGAAGTTAATTTAATATAAGACAAAGTAAATTATGAAGGTGATTGGGTTGTTGGTTATAGTATGGCATTATTAATGCATTAGAATGAAGATAACTGCTGCTCTGCTGGAAGCATACTGTCTCTGTTTTGCTAGCAAGTATGGTCAGTAGAATTTGGTTAGCCATAAGTGTAAGCCTAGCACAGCTATGGCTCGGGCTAATGGCCTTATCTGATCATTTTGGGGCCCACCTTGGCTCAAAATATCTGTTCATGTGATTAACTCCTGAAACATTAGCCTGGGCACATAGTAGTGCACTTAAATCAATCACAAAACTCTTTTCCCACGCATACACTAAAAAGCCTAGGGTAGCACTAGAAGGCCGATAACCCCCATGAAAAGAAGAGAGAGAGGGAGCATAGATAGATAGATGAGTACCAGAATAGGGAACAGGGGAGGGGACGAAGGAAAGAGATAAATCAGACGTATAACAAAGAGCTTTACTCAGAGCTGTCAGAGCTCAGCAGCCTCTCCTTCCTCTCTCTCTGAATATGGAGGCCCTGGAAGAAGCTGAACTCTGCTTTCCCCAACTCAACACCTCCTGTAGGAAGATGATGCGTCCTCACTTGGAGGACATGCTAATTTACAGTCTGCTGTCCTGCATCACTCTGCTCACTGTGGTTCTGAACCTGCTGGTCATCATCTCTATCTCCCACTTCAGGCAAGGATAATATTTGGCTTACAAATCAAAATTTTTTGGTTCCAGCTAGGAAACATAATGTGACATTTAGGTTACTAACTGAAAAATTACCTAGGATCTAAATAATGCATAGAACCAATCTGTCATATTGTGCTGCATTTAGCCATGTTAGAAAGCAATTCATACTGCTGGTATCATGAGTGCTAATAACACTTATTTCTACAACTTCTACGTATAACTGTCTTCAGTGTTGATATTCTCTCATTTCAGGCAGCTCCACACCTCCACCAACCTCCTCCTCCTCTCTCTGGCAGTCGCAGACTTTGTTGTGGGTCTCCTGCAGATGCCAGTTATACTTCTCCAGAACCAAGGCTGCTGGATCCTGGGTGACCTTATGTGTGCTGTGCATTACTTTTTAGGATTTCTCATTGTCAGTGTTTCAGTAGGAAACATGGTGCTCATATCAGTTGACCGCTATATTGCTATTTGTGACCCCATGTTTTACTCCACCAAAGTTACTCTGAAAAGAGTTCAATACTGTGTTTATCTGTGTTGGGTATTTTCTGCTGTGCACAGCAGTTGGATACTGAGGGATTTCTTAAAACAACCAAATAGGTATAACTCCTGTTATGGAGATTGTGTAGTTGTAGTCAGTTTTGTTGAGGGAGCTGTTGATCTTGTTGTGACCTTTTTAGGCCCCATTTTAGTCATCACTGTTTTGTATTTGCGAGTATTTGTGGTGGCTGTGTCTCAGGCTCGTGCCATGCGCTCTCACGTTACAGCTGTCACACTTCAGCGTTCACAGACTGTAAAAGCTAAGAAATCTGAGATCAAAGCAGCCAGGACTCTTGGTGTCGTTATAGCTGTGTTTCTTCTGTGCAACAGTCCATATTATTGTTTTGCTGTTGCAGCTGAGAGCAACTTGGTAGGGGCATCATCTGCACCCATTGAGATTTGGCTGGTGTATTTCAACTCCTGTCTAAACCCTGTGATCTATGTTTTTTTCTACCCCTGGTTCAGAAAATCTATTAAAAAGATTGTGACACTTAAGATACTGCAGTCTGGCTCCAGTGAGGCCAATTTAATGTAGAAAAAGACTGTGATGTATTTACTGAAACCAATTTTTCCTGTGCGGGGAAATTATTTTTAAATTGTTAAGACACGAAATTCAAATGTCCAAAAATACCTGTATTCGATAGGGAGGCCTCCAAAACCTGGTTCTGATTGAGGACCCAGTTTCAGGATACAGCACTGAAATTCTCTGTATATCATTATTTCAAAGATATGAAAAATATTTTCACCACCGTTATCTTCTTCTCATACAAGGATATTTACCTAAAATTAAACCCACTGGCATTCGAGTCATTCAGAGTACTGGGACACTCTTTATTCAAATTCATGCATTTATAATGATTTGCTTTTGCTGATTGAGAAACTGTGTTTTCGTTTTTTTTTGTTTTTTTTTTCTAAGTTTTCTGTTGTTCATATTTTTTTGTACAATAATCAAATGGAATAAACAAGACCACAACATTGATAAGGTTCTGGACAGATAAGCAGTATCAATAAGAGTCAATAAGATATTACAGTTATGTTAATTTTCCCACGTTAATGAGAACATGTTTTTTTTAGGGGAGATCTGTGGAATTACATTGGCATCAGTTATGTCAGTTGTACCAAAACACATTTGTGCATTACTTTTTTTTTAATCAATTTTGGTCACACCACCGCAAAATTACACAAAACCATGAAAATCATAACAGTTTATAGTTGACATAAAATCAGTGTCCTAGTATCATAATGTTTTCCAAAGGTTCCATCATCTGTCACCTGGTTTTTAAGGTAAATGGAACTGGGCATAATTTAACTTCCACCTGTTGATTTTGTGCATATGCCCCTGCACACAGTCCAAGGAGAAAAATAGACTGTACATTCATAGGTATGAAGCATGCCACAGTATCGCAGTCAACAAGTTACTGATCTTAGTTAAGTGCTTTGTCTTTAAATGTTTTTATGGTAATCAGACTAATCATAATGGCACTAAGCTGATTTGAATAGAGAAGAATAAAACAATTGTTCATTTTGTTTTGCTCATCAAAACATGAAAGCAACTCAACAACAAATAACATAAAACAACTAACAGAACAAATGTAGCAACAAAATACTGCACTTAAGTATAAAGTGCATTATAGTATATCTGTTATATATAGATATATATATATATTATAGTATAGTATAGTCAAAAACTACAGATAGAATGAAACAAACCATAAAATATTAAAACTTGAACAAAATACTATTGAACAACAATCGTTTATTAGTTTTTTTTTAAGATTAAAATCCAAATTGTACTTGTAATAAGAACTTCTTAGAAAATATTTTTGGTAACTAAGCAACCCTAGAAAATATGAGAAAATAAAATGTGATGTGATTACATGAGTCATTTTTCTTCCCAATACCATGGACTGTCCTTACATGAGCACAAAATTAAATGTTTAAGGGCCTGTTATATAGAGCAAGAATTTGTCTTGTCAGGCTCTCAGTATGTGTATTCATTGAACTAATGAAATAGTGTTGGCTCTACTGTGAATTGGTCACATGTACTGTATAGTACGGTATATTGCTTTTTCACTATTAGATATTCCTCAGCTGCTTGTTAGTTCAAGCAGGAAGATAAAAGACAAGCTCAACATTTGTCACAGGCAACAAAGACTCTTTTAATGATTAAGGCCCTGCACACCAACACAGGTCTTTACATTTATTCTGGTAAATTAGACTTCTGCTCAGTTTGAAGGTAGGTGTAGTTATTCTTGTGTTGCGTGTGGTCATCAAACTTTATGAACCAAAGATATAGATGTAAAGATGTGATACAAAACTAAAAGGAGCATCAGACAACTGTCAGTAAAGCACAGTTTGTACACACCAACAAGGTATTAAGACGAGGTAAGGCAAAATAAGTGACAAAACCCCGTGTGGGGGGCACCATGGGAGTACAAGGCCTTTGAAAATACTTTTCATCACAGTTACCTGCATATACAATATGTGGGTGTAAAAGGGGTTTATGCACAATCCAGTTTAGGTTATATGTTCCATATATATATATATTATGTACTTTGTTCAGCTGTATGCAACAGCAGGTTATTCTTAACAATGTATGAGTAAAAGAAACTAACATTAACAAACTAACATGTCATTAATAGAATATAATCAATAGATTAAATAACGAATCAAACATTATTTCAAAGTTTTTATTGTGATATAAATATAGAATCTACTTCTTTTTTTTTTACATAACTTGTCTGTGTTTGATGATTTTGAAACAAAAATAATATTAAACACTGTCTTTGCAGGAGATTTTAGCTTTTTTTGCAAAAACATTGTAGATGGTGGTGTTTTAAAGAAAATTAACCACTCAAATAATGAGTTAAAGGTGACATGTTAGAAAACTAAGCAGTAAACTTCGACAACATGAGTTTCTTTCTGTTTTTCAAAGCTCTGTACTAATACACAACCTAATAAACAGAAAACTCTTTAGTCAGTTTTTTTTTTTTTAAGTATATTTTTTGGGCTTTTTTATGCCTTTATTTGATAGTACAGTAGAGAGACAGGAAATCGGGAGGCAGAGGGAGGGGGAATGTCATGCGGCAAAGGGCCGTCCGATGCAGGAGTCGAACCGGGGCCAACTGCAGCGAGGACTGTGGCCTCTACACATGGGGCGCCTGCTTAGACCACTACGACACACGACGCTCCACTCTTAAGTCAGTTACTCATGCAAAGTCCTTTTTCACATTTTATCCTTATCCTTATTTTAAGTGCTCTACTCTAAAGTATGTTGGCATCACAGGAGTAAGGCTGCAGTATTTGAAGTGTAACAATGAGTTTAATAGATCTCTTAAACCATGGGTAGAAAAAAGCATAGATCACTGGATTTAGACAGGAGTTAAAATAAAGCAAAAAGACCACAAAATGTGAAAATGCTACACTCCCTAATGTGTCCTGAACCCCAAGGGAAGGTGAAAAATAAGGACAGAAACATATTAGAAACACAATCACAACAACACCAAGGGTCCTGGCTGCTTTTCTCTCAGACTTATTAGCAGTTACACCAACTGAACCCTGGAGTGTGACAGCTGCAATATGAGACCTCATTGCTCGAGCCTGTGACACCGCCACCACAAATACTTTCATATACAGAATTATGATTACAGTAATGGGGCCAATAAAGGTCAACATGACATCAACAGCTCCTGTTATGAAGTTAATAACAACTACACACTCTCCATAGCAGGAATTATATGTATCTGGATGTTTCAGGAAGACATTTAGTATCAAACCGTTATACATTACAGAACAGGCCCAACACAGACAAACACTGAATTTAACTCTTTTTAGAGTGACCTTGGTGGGGTAACACAAAGGGTCGCAAATGGCCACATATCGGTCAACTGATATGAGCACCATGTTTCCTACTGAAGCAGATGTCAGGATAAACGAGCTATAGTAAAATAGTCCACATATTAAGCTCCCTAAAAACCAGCAGCCCCTTATGAGGAGGATTTGAACCGGCATCAGCAGTAGGCCAACAAGGAAGTCTGAGACAGCCAGAGAGAGGAGGAGGAGGTTGGTGGAGGTGTGAAGCTGCCTGGAGAGAAAGAACATCATCATTGAGCATATTATTCTATCCAGCAGTTGTGAAAGTCCTAAAAATATTATCTGCTACAATATGAATAGTTAAATAAACATTGTTCAGATACAACAGTGAAAAACATGCAATGCATTTTTGAATAGCTAGGATGTGCTCATCAAAGGCCTAGACATGACGACAGATGCACCACATGTACTAGTCTTGAATACTTCTGTGTCTGTAGTGAAGTTGAATTGCAACATTCATATGATTAATACAGTCAGTGATGGTTACAATAGCAATAAGAGTTAGTTGTAGTTGTAGAAGTAGTAGTATGTTTAATCCAAAATGCAATACATGTGACTTTTTTAGAATGTTTTCATCTTAAAATGATATATTTTCATAAAAAGCTGTTATGTAACAATATCTATATTGTTTGTCAGCCTACGCTTGAGACACTTTGATATTAAGAAGAATGTTAGGTTATACTTGTAAATTCATGCCTGAAGTGGGAGATAGAGATGATGACCAGCAGGTTGAGAACCACAGTGAGCAAAGAGATGCAGGACAGCAAGATGTAAAGAAATATGATCTCTGCACGATGCTGCCAATGCTTCCTGCATGAGATGTTCAGGAGCTGTGGAAAGCAGAGTTCACCTCCTTTCAAGGTCTCCATAATCAGAGAGAGAGAAGGAGAGGAGAGACTGTGAAGCTCTGGCAGCTTTCTGTCTAATGTTTTCTGTCATAAAAGCCTAAAATAACCCTTATCTGGCTCCTCCCTCTTTTCCCATTACCAAAACAATTGCATCTGTTGTATGATGTAATGATCGAATACTTTTTCTCTGACTCTAAAGTATGACCTTGTGAACTTCTCAACTATGTTGATTTCATTTTTATAGTTTTAACACACAAAAAAAAAGATTTATTGAAACCTTCGGTTACATTATTACTGTATACAAAGCATTTCAAATTACTATATACTAATATATTATACTTAAATAACTAAAATTACTGAGTTTGACATTAAAGGAGAGAGCCCACCACTGCCTGAGGCTATGGCGGATGGCATAGGGTTATACAGTTAAGCCCCACTTAATTTAGGTAGATCATGGCCAATTTACTAATTTATTTATCAATTTTTAAAAGACTTTGCAACTGAAAAATATTGTTCTGAACACTACACTACTGCAAAAACATAGTCTTGAAAGAAAGAAATCTACTGCTATCTTATTTTTTACATGGTTTTATTGGCTTTAATGGAGTACACCTCTATGAGACGGAATTAATTGTATTTACTTAGCAACTGAAATGTCCAAGTTCCATTAGTTGCCTATCCAGGACTGTGTCCTGCCTATCCTGGTCTGTGACGCTCAGGCGAATGAGCTAAGTCGGAAAAAGCAAGGCATTACCTACACACGGCAATCTGAGCACCCATGGACATGTTGGTCTTAAAATGAGTTGTGGCCAGGTGCATAGCTATGTTGAGCAGTGCAAAATGATTGCACGATTAACCAACAAAAACCTGGTCTGAGGTCAGTGGCGCAGTATTTTATTGTTATTTTAAGGGCACATTATCAAGGTAGTTATATGCCCTTACACAGATGGGTGCACAACACGCGTACACTCTGCCTTTTATGCACAAGTAGTGAGCTGAAAGTGATTCAGATGTTAGGACGAGTCAAATGGAACGTGGTTAGAGCATTCTTTGTGGCATATTGTGTGTTGCATAACATTGCCATATGTCATGGATGATTCTACGACATAAATGAGGTTCTGCAGAGAAGCGTTCTTTCTTACTACCTGGTAAATCCACCACACTGTTTCCCGATCATCACTTAGACTAAATTTGTCCTCCGCAGTTTAATAATGAACCGAAAATGTATTTATACTTCGCATAATATAACATAAAAGATGTCTAATGTGATTTGTACGGTTGCTTCTTTGTAAAGCTGTGCGTAGTGCATTGATGTGTTCACCCCCTCTTTGCGATTCGGGGTGCACAGAGCGTGCTGAATGCATGTGCCTAGACTGGGCTCACTGGCCAGTCACAATATGGAATCAACTTGCCGCTAAAAGAAACTAATTCTGTGAATCACTGCACCGTTAAAATAGCAGTCTGCCTAGGTGCAAGCACACCTGAGTTTCAAAGGAAATGGAACTGTGATTGGTTTGTTGTAAGTTACACCCAAAACACCCCCATGATTAATTAAGAGACTAAGTACAACTCTTTTAAACCATGCACCTGGTGCAGCTTTCATTTTTATCTGCTGTTAAAATATCAAAAGTGGACATGGACACACCCTAAATGCACTTGTGCCATGTGCTTTAGACCAATTGCCTTGAAATGTTTAAAATAGAGTCCAATGTGTATTTGCTCCATGAGAAGGATGGTCCATGAGAGATGAGTGACAGATATAAAAAATGCTTATCAAAAATTATATCAGAAAGACAGCATTATAGGTGGGGAGCAAGTAGTGTTGCAGACATCCTCCTCTGTTGAACCATGTGCCTGGCACAGTACCTATTTTTATCTGCCATTAAAATATCAAAAGTGCACATGGACATACCTTAAATGCACTTACGCCATGTGCTATGGACTGTTAAAATAGAGCCCAGTGTGTATTTGTTCCGTGAGAAGGATGGTCCATGAGAGATGAGTGACGTAAAGAAAGGCCGAAGCATTTGTAATCATTTCAGTGAAACTGGATTCAACATGTCTCAGTGCTACATGTATGGTACATGTGTGTGATCATTCTTGCATAGTTTGTTAGAGTAACCCAATGTACATGTTCATAGTAATGACTGTACAGTATGTGTTAACCTCCATCAGCGTGAAGATCTCAATAATTAAATAGACCAAAATGCTTGCTTTTGTCCTGTGACCATTTTGGAGCCATCACTGACTGTAAAACTCTCCAGCCTGAAATGAAATATCTAGAGGCTGTGGATTCACTGGTGGCCGAAGAGGAAAAGGAACATTTCACTGGCCCTGTTCTCAGATGAAACTAGGATATAGTCTTGCAACAAATGTATCAATATAAATCTGTTATTTTGTACTTCTTCTTTCCCCACTTATTTATTTATTGTTATAACTTAAGTGAGTTATAGTTAGTTCTGGACCCAAAATGCACACACAGAACATGAAGCAGGGAAAAGTTTAAAGAGAGTTTATTGTCACACAAAGGAATCTGAAGGCTTAACTGATGAGAACCTGCTCTTTATTTTGCAGGTAAAAAATCCTAAACACAACCAATTAAAGAGCAAATTCTTTAGATGGTGTTACCAAGTTCTTTTTCCTGTTATCCTTTGCTCCTTAAGCACATAGTTGACTAATGAAGTAGCAACAGGAAAACTTTCCCTTTTTTTAAGTGCTCTACAGACCTCTCTACAGTATGTTAGCATCACAGGAGTCAGGCTGCAATATCTGAAGTGTAACAATGAGTTTAATTGATTTTCTAAACCAGGGATAGAAAAAAGCATAAATCATTGGATTTAGACAGGAATTACCATAAAGTAGCCAGACCCCAAAAATTGAAAATGCCACATCAGTTGACATGTCCTGGCCCGTGAAAGAGGGATAAAAATAAGGACAGAAACATATTAGAAACACAACCACAACAACACCAAGGGTCCTGGCTGCTTTTCTCTCAGACTTATTAGCAGTTACACCAACTGAACCCTGGAGTGTGACAGCTGCAATATGAGACCTCATTGCTCGAGCCTGTGACACCGCCACCACAAATACTTTCATATACAGAATTATGATTACAGTAATGGGGCCAATAAAGGTCAACATGACATCAACAGCTCCTGTTATGAAGTTAATAACAACTACACACTCTCCATAGCAGGAATTATATGTATCTGGATGTTTCAGGAAGACATTTAGTATCAAACCGTTATACATTACAGAACAGGCCCAACACAGACAAACACTGAATTTAACTCTTTTTAGAGTGACCTTGGTGGGGTAACACAAAGGGTCGCAAATGGCCACATATCGGTCAACTGATATGAGCACCATGTTTCCTACTGAGGCAGATGTTAAGATAAAAGAGCTATAGTAAAATAGTCCACATATTAAGCTCCCTAAGAACCAGCAGCCCCTTATGAGGAGGATTTGAACCGGCATCAGCAGTAGGCCAACAAGGAAGTCTGAGACAGCCAGAGAGAGGAGGAGGAGGTTGGTGGAGGTGTGAAGCTGCCTGGAGAGAAAGAACATCATCATTGAGCATATTATTCTATCCAGCAGTTGTGAAAGTCCTAAAAATATTATCTGCTACAATATGAATAGTTAAATATACAATGTCCAGATACAACAATACAGAACATCAATAACATTTTTGAATAGCTAGGATGTGCTCATCAAAGGCCTAGACATGACAACAGATGCAGCACATGTACTAGTTTTGAATACTTCTGTGTCTGTAGTGAAGTTGAATTACAACACTCATATGATTAATACATTCACTGATGGTTATAATAAGAGAGTTAGTAGTTGTAGTAGCAAAAGCAGTATGTTTAATCCAAAATGCAAAACATGTAACCTTTTTAGAATGTTTTCATCTTAAAATGATATATTTTCATAAAAAGCTGTTATGTAACAATATCTATATTGTTTGTCAGCCTACTCTTGAGACACTTTGATATTAAGAATAATAAAAAAAAATGTTAGGTTATGCTTGAAAATTCATGCCTGAAGTGGGAGATAGAGATGATGACCAGCAGGTTGAGAGCCACAGTGAGCAAAGAGATGCAGGACAGCAAGATGTAAAGGAATATAGTCTCAGCACGATGTTGCAACGGCTTCCTGCATGAGGTATTCAGGAGCTGTGGAAAGCAGAGTTCACTTCCTTTCAAGGTCTCCATAATCAGAGAGAGAGAAGGAGAGGAGAGACTGTGAAGCTCTGGCAGCTTTCTGACCAATGTTCTGTATCATAAAGCTGATTTATCTGGCTCCTCCTTCTTTTCCTATAACCCAAACAACTGCATCTGTTCTATGATGTGATTATGAAAACATTTACCATGACTTTAAAGCATGACCTTGTGGACTCCTAAACTATATTGGATTTTTATAGTTTCAACAAAAACCAAAGCAAGATTTAATAAAATATATAAATACATAATCTATCATCACTGTAACACCACAACAGCAATGTTTTGCTATTTGTAGGAGTGCCTGTTACGTGCAAATCCTCCTTGTTTTGTCATTCATGGAGTTATTGAAGTTTTTTGGTGTATATAATGCCTAAGCAGAGCTCATTCCCCAGCCTATTTTTCCACTGTCAATGTTCAGCACAAACAAACTCGGTATTCTGACACTGTAATATTAAAACCAACTTTGAACACTTTCTTCAGGAATGTCATCAGTAGCCTTTTAACACATTGTTGTGTATTGTTGGAAGCCTGTAAAACAAATTTCATCCTCATGGTGGTGCTAGAGGAAAAGATGGGATAACCAAAGCCATTAGACGTATCTGCTGGTGTTATGTAGTTATGTAACATTATGTCTGTTGCATTGTGTCTTTCTGTAGATCCAACTCCCCCCAGCTCACAGCAATAATCTGTGTAATAATTGGCAGGCACCTGACCAGTTAATTTTTAAATCCTACATGTACATAATGTGATACAATACAACTATGATTGAAGTAGTTTGAAGGAGTACTTAACAAAATTGATGTTGAATGAAGAGGTATTTTTCTGTAAAAATATAATATTGGATATTCATGTAAACAGGATTATTATTATAGACCTCAAGCTCTGCAACTACTTTATACACAGTTTTGCAAGCAGTGGCAACCAAAATCTCAACTTTTTGTACCTAAAGAAACAGTCATGTTTAACATGCTTATCCCATTTCTGACGTAATTCAATGAGTGTTTGAACTCAGGATTATAACAATTTTTTATTCATGTAGCACTTTTTTTAACAAAGTTAGATTGCTTTACAGAAAGAAAAAGGGGAATTAACAACAGGAGAAAAACAAACATCATGAAACAGAAGTAAGTTAGATGACAGCAAAGGCCCAGTCACCTTTAGTCACCTGCTGAGATAGTTTTGAAAGTTCTTTCAATTGATTGACTTTCAAACAGTTTTCAGTGCGGAAACACAATTACAGAAACTGAAAAAAAATGTATTGAAAAAAATACAGTGTAACCTGTTAGCTACTATATAGGAGAACAGTTAGATGAAGACATATTGATGTGCCTACTAAAGGCCATGAGAGGGCACCCAAGCGAACTGCAGTAGTAAATGATACAGCACAGTAGTTCTGATTACAAAGGCAAGTTCATACTTTCCAATCTGATGAACAACCCTTATCATTGTGTTTACACATTAAATAAATGATCAGATCTGCTGAAACTTAGTTTCCAAATGGGCCTGGATTTGTTGGACATAATACATCAGTTGATCAAGGATAATCACGTCAAAATAGGTTGTGTTTGCACATGTGCATGTTCCCTTATTTCAAATTCTACTTAAAGCCAGTTATTACATTAAATCAGCCCCTTATAATAGCACAGTCACTCACTGATCAAAGAACAACATATCAAAAGACCTGAAAGGCCTGAATGACTTCATACAAATGCAGGACCAATAGTCAACCAGCAGATGTCACCATGTTACTTGCATGAAATGTCCTGCAGCAACGAACTACTTTCAGCACTGTTGAAAGCTTTTTTTCCCTATATGATTACCCTTTGCCCCGGAATAAGCTGAAAATGCTTTGTGAAATCTATAGCTTCTTCTACTGCAGGGACCCACTATTAAGAAATGTGTTAAATCATAGAGGTAGTTTCTGATTCCTAAAGGATATACACTCACTAAGCACTTTATTACAACCCCTATATTGATACTACATACAGCCGCAAGATGCTGGAAACATTCCATTCCTGGTCCATGTTGACATGATTGCATCACAATATTTCTGTAGATTTGTCAGCTGCACAACTTTTTTTTTTCTACCATAGTTAATTGCTTTGCTTTTAAAACTGTAGGTGAACCAATGCCAACTCCACTGCATATATAAGTCAAACACACAGCGGGCCCAGATATGTACACAAATCAGACACATACATATGCAAAAATTTGAATAAAATAACATCAGATAGCTGCTACTTGTGGATCATCCCACACTGGCCTTTTCCAGGTGGGCAAAGAAGGTTTTCCAAAATGGTCGAAAACCTCATAAATGAGTCATTCCTCAAAAACGTTTTTCCATCTGTATGACTGAGATCATGTCAGCCATCTTTGGAGAAATCAGCGATTTCCATTCATGTAAGATTAGCCGCTTGGTGACATACAGTTGTGTGGCTTTAGGGAGGTGTGCAGTGGATTGTGGGCCACCATTAGTTAGGATGGAAAACTTAGGCTTGACGTTGAAAGTTTTGTGCAAATCAAGAGATAAGATTGCCACCCCGGAGTTCCCCCTGCAGTTGACATAGATAGTATTGAGGAGGCGTCTAATATCAGAGAGGGTCTCCAAGCTGCCGTGCCAGGAGCCCCCCCAGGTTTGTCCCCCAGTTAAAATATTTTTTGTCTTAATTTTAAGAGGATATTATTAATTTGACTGCCATGCCATTGCCATTGCCCATGATGCAGTTGTACTTGAATTTAAGTTTCATTATCTTGTTATAGTCCTTGTGAGATTTCAAGACTTGGTACGCCTCTCAAGAATGGGGAGAGTATTCTCAATTTCTCTTTCTTACTCCTTCTTAGCAGCAGACTCATATGAGATAATGTCTCCACAGATAACAACCTTGTTGTCTTGCAGAGTGTGGAGTCAGACACTTCGCTGTTATCTTTAATTTCTATAATTTTTTTTAATTTAGTTGTAATATTATCAATGTATATTTTGTCAGTAAGCAGGCAAGGGTTGAAATGCCAGGAGTAGGATTGTCTAGTTAGGGAAAGATCATTGTTATGGGGCTATGGTAAGAGATTAATATACTCTGGTATTATGTATTAGTAACATGAGAGATTAAACAGGAATCGACCAAAAAGTAGTCTATTCGACTGAAAGATTTGTGAACACGAGTTCTCAGAGTAATCTGGGAATCAATGTAGAGACAAATTCAGTCAGTCTACTGTCCTCCTCTAGCCCTACGATATTTGTATCATGTCTCCGGGAACGGGCTTCCAGGTCGAGCCCGAAGCAGACTGTTGTGTTTCGTCAGCTCCTAGTATTTAGCTTGAAGTTCCTGCATGTGTGTTGCAAAGTCGCGAGCAGCTAACTGTTGGTTAGCCATGCGGACCTGTAGATCAGTCTGTGACGCTGCTAGCAACTTAAAGTTGGTTTCAAAAGCATCGAAACATTCATTAATGCCACGCTGAATTCACTGAGTCATCTCCTTGCATAGTTGCATAGTTCTTTGCACATTGCATAGGTTTTATCTGGAAGCTTGCCTGATTCGGTGGAGGGGTTGCTGGCTGAGCTATTGTTGGTATTAGCGTCAGCTCCAGTGATTTGATCGTCAGAGGTTTTGGATTTCATTTCTAATCATTTCTAATCACCTGGTCTCTGAGGTTTCCCTCCTGACCACCACATGCCTCAGTTCAGCAGCCTCTGTTATCCCGTTAACACACTCCGATAGTGATTCTTCCACACTGACAAATGAATTATGAAACAAGAAACAGGCCTAATATTGGACCAGTTTTGGAGGTGATACATCTGTCATCTCCAAAACTGGTCCATGGGGTAAGGTCCAATAAAATGCTACATTTCAGTTCTATGTAACGCTGGTTATACATAATGTGACAGTACGTGCATCCCAAAAGTCTGCAAAGAAACTGCCTTACAGTTACTGTAATTTTAGGAACAGCAACAACAAGCCCAGAGGTGATGTAAGCTAACTGTAATGAGAGTCATTAGGTCCTCTGCTGTGACCTCCCTGGTGTGTCACCTCTACAATGGTGAACAGGCCTTGGGGAACAGGACTGGCTACAGCAATGTTTTATACAGCTAATTACTGGCTTTTACATGGCTACTGTGTGTTGGCCTCATGGGATGTTCCACTAAGCAAACAACTGAAACTTCAGTAAAAAATATCCCATCAGTTGTAGAGAACTATTGACCCCACACACTACTGAAAAGTCAGATACACAATATGGTCATTACAGTCTAAATTGTCAACATTTCATCATCTTCAATATCACTTGAGACTAATTAAACAAACTGCACACCAAGTCAGGGCATCAACTCAAACAAACAAGTAAAACAACGGGGTCACTGACAAATTTCAGAAAGGCCCAGTTGCATAACAGAAAAGGCTGCGAGTCATTCTTTCTCCAATGAGTCCTCCACACAATTATCAACAAAATACATATGATAACAGAAAAATTATGTTTGATTTCTGATTTGCCACCACTGTGGTTGTGATTTGGTTAGTCATAGTTAGGATTGAAAGAGAACTGATGTCACTGAGCAATCATTTAGCATGCATGGTACAATCACGTCACAGTTTACAGGTCTGTCATCACTCAAGACAACTAATACCCTTTTTACACAAAAATGTGTGCGCATAAGCAGGTTTTTAAAACATGGGAAAAAGTTTTTGGCCACATCATCCAGTCCTGATCTTCCCATGATAAGTCAGGGAGTCACCATAAACAGTAGGACCCATCCTGTGGGACCATGAATGTCCATTCCATATTTAATGAAAACATCATGCCAGTAGTGCTGGGATAGATGGATGGGCAGATCAACAGACTTTTTGTAGATTGCCATTATTCAGGTTATTTGACATGGGGTAAAAACGTAAAAACATGTTTTAGCCACTTGTCAAAGCCAAATGCCCACTGAAGAAAACCAATATCAGTTTCAGTGTACGCTTTATTTTGTATATTTTCACTGCTTTATCTTGCTGTCAAAGCCTCAGATGATTGGGCCAAAGGTACCACAGATCAAGAAACCAGTCATCATAAGCTGTATGCAGTCAGAGTAGCAGCGATGTTTCGAATTTTGAGAGGCATGTCAGTGTATCGGCCGTAATTATGTAATTGCAGAGCTGTGGGTGTATAATTGCAAAGCCCACCTCAAGAAGCATATAACAGGTCTATAAGACTAATTGGGTTATTCAGACCTACTGTAATGGCAGGTAAGGCGATGTGGGGAATGTGAAAACATTCATCAGGAGAACAAAACCAAAAGCTAAGGCAGAAAGACAGAGTTCAAAAACAGTCTATGGGTGAACAGAACTGGCAGGCAGAACAAGAACAAGGCTGCAATTCCATGCCAACTATTCAGTCAGTCGTTCATTCAGTGCAAATTTGTGGTTTGGAAGTTCCTAAAAATATGCTGTTGAGTTTATGGAAGTTCTCTGCACATTATTTGAGTATTAAAACAGGCTAGGTCAGGGTGAATTAGTGTTAGGAAGAGGAATCCCATGTGGAACACAATGATGAAAACTCAAAAGGAGACTGACAAAAAATAAAGGTTGGATGAGTAATGTCATTGTCTGCTACATCAGAAAAACAATTCAGCAGAGGAGATGTGAGAGGGAACACATAAATCAGCTGTGTTTCAGAGAACTTTAGACAGACAGCTGACAGAGCTCAACAGCTTCTCTTCTTCTCTGTACTGATGGAGGCCTTAGAAGAAGTTGAACTCTGCTTTCCACAGCTCCACAACGCCTCCTGCAAGAAGACAAAGCGTCCTCACTTTGAGGCCATTATGACTTACATTATACTGTCCTCCATCTCTCTGCTCACCGCAACTCTTAACCTGCTGGTCATCATCTCCATCTCACACTTCAAGTAAGGGACACGTAGTGCATTGAATTGAAAGAGATTTTTAAACATGTCAGAGTTTGACGGAAATTAATTTTATTGTATTTTAGTCATTGCTTGTGTCCTATAAATATAATCATTCACATACAATGATTTTTCTGATGTGTGTGTTTTGTCTCCCTTTCCAGGCAGCTCCACACCCCCACCAACTTCCTCCTTCTCTCTCTGGCTGTCTCAGATTTCTTCGTGGGCCTCCTAATGTTTTTTCAAATTGTGCTCATAGATGGCTGCTGGTTCCTCGGTGATATCATGTGTGTTGTGTATCTGTGTGTAGCATATATTATCACCGCTGCCTCAGTAGGAACCATGGTATTAATATCTGTTGACCGTTATGTGGCTATTTGTGATCCTCTGCATTACTCCACCAAAGTCACTCAAGAAAGAGTTCAAGTCTGTGTTTGTCTGTGTTGGATAGGTTCTTTAGTCTTTCAAAGTCTGATGGTGAAGGAAAATCTGGAAAGCCCAGGCAGGTATATTTCTTGCTCTGGTGAGTGTGTAGTTGTTGGTAACTATATTGCTGTATTCGCTGACCTGGGTTTGTCCTTTCTTGCTCCTGTCATCACCATCATAGCTCTTTATACGAGAGTATTTGCGACGGCTGTGTCTCAGGCTCATGCCATGCGCTCTCACAAAGTAGCTGTCACACTTCAGGGTTCAGTGACTGTAACTGTTCAGAAATCTGAGCTGAAAGCAGCAAGAACTCTTGGTATTGTAGTAGTTACGTTTATGATATGTCTCTGCCCATATTACTTTTATGTCATTGTCCTTACAGCCAAGGACATCTTGCTCAGTGCTAAATCTGCTGCCTTTGTGATATGTCTGTTCTATTTTAATTCCTTTCTAAACCCTCTGATCTATGCGTTTTTCTACCCCTGGTTCAGAAAATGTCTTAGGCTCATTGTTACATTTCAGATACTGCAGTCTCACTCTTGTGAGGCTAACATACTGTAGAGAGATAGAGGGTATGCTGACTAAAAATGAATACTATGAAATAAACATTATAACTAGCCAAGTTGCAGAGTGTTAAAAAATATGTTTGTTCAAAGTGAAAACATGCCTCTCTTTTAATTCAATGCCTGATATGTCACAGAAACCCATGGAAATAGTGACCATTGTGAGCTGTCTGTGTTCAGTTTTACATTTCAAATATATATATCTGTATATTTTACAGAAATGGAATCTACTTTAACATTGCAAGTATTTACATCTGCAATATTTTTACTCATGCCACACCCTCAGCATTTATTTAGAAAAGCAAAGACATATTGGCACACTCCTTGGGTTAAGAGTTACAGCAGTTACAAAGACATATCTTAAAAGCTTTCAAGCTTTAGTTGGTCTAATATGTTCCCATTTTGTTCAAGAATTGAAATAAATAGACTTATTTTTAAAATAACACAAGAATCAAGTAGTAACTACAGTACTACTTATACAAGTATGTGGAGGGGCACATACAGCAGGAGATGTTTAGGCCTGAAATCTTTGAATGAGTCTGGGGTCATGTGTTGATGAATAAATATTGCAATATATATATGATATTAATATACTATTATCGTTATTATTATAATTATTATTGGTAGTAGTAGTAGTTGTAGTAGTACTATTTCAAATAGTTAACTGTCAAATAATACCTTGTCTACTCTCACTTGCCACTTGTTATTACACCTATACAATTTATTGTAATCCAATACAACGTATCTGCTACATATTCCACATTTAGGAAAATTCTAATGTTCAGTTTTTGTTGGCACCGTTAATTCATCAATATGTTTATTAAGATAATAATAATATTCTGTTTCATTCCCTTATAAAAACAGGTCATAACTTACTACATGACTACCTCCATCTCGATTTTTAAATCTAGGTTAGACACATTTTTATTCACTGGCCTTTTAGCTCGCTAACCTTTTAGTCCATTGCCATGTTCATAATTGTATATTTGCCACTTGTTATTTTCTTGTTTTTGTTAGTATGTTTACATGTTCTTTATACAATATATTTACATGCTTTCCTTGTATTTTACTTATTCTATACATTTGTTAACTTTCTTTTATTTTAATTGTCCTTTGTACAGCATTTTGGTCAGCTCAAGCTGTGTTTAAACGTGCTCTACAATGAAGTTGACTACATGTCCTTTAAGTATTTTTCCAATGCTGCATATTTGTGTGATGTCATCCAAGTACATAACAGGTCAAAAACAATGCCCCATCTTCTTTGTAAAGGCCAAGTAGTGTTATTTTCAAATATCAGGGTATGTTCCCATATGGAAACACCATGCAGTAGAGGGTATATTAAAACCTCTTTGACAGTCTCAATTAAAACTGAACATTAATATCTTTGTAAAGGTAGAGCATACAGCTGATCCGTTCTATTGGTTTATGGCATTAGATTTTACAGGTGTACTTAGTAAAGTGTCACTTTCAAAGAGCAGTGGCAGGACTTTGTTGTCTAATGCCCACGATTCCCTGAACACAGGCCAGTAATGCAGAGGTGCTCAATTTGAGCCACACTCTAATTTGTTTCCTTACTGGTTTAACCAGTTTCTGTATGCAGGCATTAGCGTAACAGACGTGGTCTGAAGGGCCAATGTAGAATCCATCCGTTGGGCTTTTTGTTGTCACTGATGGCCTTGAGCAGTTCAGTCAAAGCCTCCTGAGCGTTAGCACTTGGGGTAATATACACTGTGATAATTATAATCAATGTGAATCCTCTCAGCAGATAGTATGGTCAACACTGTAGAAACTTGAGCTCTGCTAGTGCTGTGCAGTGCTTAGAGAAAACTGCACCATACTTTGTTGATATAGATACACAAAGTTCGAATTACACACACTTTGATCGAATGAATTCCTCCCCAAGCATATCCTTGTGTGATAAGTCTTGCTATCTTAGTAGTGATGGCCTTTTTACAAGCTCCTAGCAAGACACCTGCTGAACCTGAGTGTGCCGAATCAGATGAGGTTGTACGCTTGATTTACTCCACTCGTCTGTGATGTCCCTGCTGCCTCCCTTGGGTGGCAAACTAGCAGGTGACTCCACAGATTTCTACTACACTGTAGAGCCCAAAATACTTGTACACACTTCTCAGATCCTAGTGTTATAACCAGAATAAAAACACACCTTGGGCCTTATAGTGTAATCTTTGGAATTTTTGTGATTGTTTCAGTGTCTTCCCTCTCATGTCAAATAAACTAGCTAAACATACTGTAACCTAGTAATTATCCTTTGTCCTGCATGTGTTGATTATTGATGATTGATGATTCGGTGTCATTCATTTAAATTTTCATTATTTGTTATTACATTGAAAACATGTTAGTGAATCTTGTATGAAAGTTTTGATGAAGCCCAATATGGGAAAATTTCAAATTTCATTGGTCAAATGATATTGGTGAAGAGGCCAAATTTTACTACAGACCACAATTTGCTGTTCCCTACTACAGATCCTTTTACACTCTGTGGGTATACACTGTGCTGCATCGATCCTCCATCAATATAATTCTATTGAAAATTTTAACAATTGCATGTGGAACATTGCAATCACAAAACATTTCTTGCTCTTAGTGACATTGATAAATGTCTTATAAGTCAGCAACCCAAGAAGATTGAAGTTTTGTATTTAAAGCAATTACAATTTTATTGACAATTTAACTGATGTTCACAATCTTGAGTGTAATGTATTTAAAGTGTAGAATTGAAATACTCTCGATGAAAATGTAGAGTTGAGATGTTTTTAATATCAACAAATTTTTACAAGCATGTCTAATTTTTGACAGTTTAAGACCATACATGACTGGATTTTGAAGAGGCTGAATGATCACTACATACATAGACAAGACAACACAGAGAGGATATGGAACTGACTTAAATCTCTGAGAGATCAAACTATAAAAACAGGCAAAGACAAAGCTAATGATAGAAACTAAGTGTGGAGTGCAGGTATCCAAGGCCTTCATTTTGGTCTCTTTGGAACCTTTTAAACACACACGCAAAATTTTTATATAACTGTATGTAATGTAACTGACAGGACCAGCAACAGTGATAATAAGGCCAAAAACCAGATCATGGACGACTGACACTGTTCTGTCTGGTGAACAAGAAAGTTCAACTACAAGGTGATGTGCACAAAACACTTTGTTGATAACAGTCCGACAACGCTTCATACGAATAGTGAAAGACAATAAAACTCCAACCTCTACAAACGAAACTATCCAGATAACAAGTATGACAGTTTGTACTTTCCTTTTAGTCATTATGGCATTGTAATGTAAAGGCTTACAAATGCACACATATCTATCATATGCCATCATTGTCAATGTTCCAAATTCAACACCTACATATGAATGAATGTTAAATATTTGAAGGAAGCAGTAAAAGGCAGAAATTTCATGAGCCTCTGACAAAATTTGTACCATCAAACAGGGCAGCATAGATGTGCTGCCATATATTTCATTAATGAATAAACTACACAGGAATAGATACATGGGCTCATGCAAATTTCTGTCCAAATAAATAATGATAATAACAACAGTGTTGGCTAAAATAACTGATACGTAAAATAGCAGTGCCAGAGTGAAATACAGGTATTTTAAATGTCCCATGTTCCCATACATAGCCAACACAAATGACACAATCTCTGTTGAATTCTCCATTGGCCTAGTAAAGCACAAGAATACATTTGCTGATTTTCCTTTTAAATACATGTGGTAGCAAATGTTGAAAACTCAAAGACTGTTAAAATCCAAGTGTTTCAACATTTAATAAAGAAAATTAATAAAATATATTTCTTACTTTAAGAATATCTGAAACCCTGAACAAATAAGCAGCTATAAGATTTAATTAATTCATGGTCATAGAATATAATTTAGGAAAGTATGGTTCTACTTTACTTGTTTATGTACTAACAAACTAGATCATTTTAGAAGACAGCATCACAACATTTAAAGAGAAGCTGTTATTAGGAGAACTATTAAAAAATACGTAAGATAAAGACCCATTTCCAAAGAACTATTAAATTTTGTGAACCATGTAATTGCAGTTTTGGACATACCATGTTGCCATATCAGTGATATCAAAACTTCACCAATCAGTCAAACAGAGGGATGGTCAACAGAAAACTGAAGACCGCTGTAACCTCCCTTCCCTACTGAGACGAACAGAAGCAGTTGCTAAACCTTTATACTGCTGCCCTGGCAGCAGAAACGTGATGCCAACTGAGACTTAACTATTTTTTTTCTTGTAGTATGCTTCACATGTAGAAAGTCCCAAGTCAAGTTCAAGTTCTAAAAGCTGAGTTCTGATTCCTAAATAATTAAGATTTGTCTGTGCTCTTCACCACATTAAATGGAAAAAATAACCAAATATAAATAGCCTTGTTAAAAAGTCTGATTCTAGGTCTGAGGCTTTGTTCTGACTACCACAAAGTGAACCTCACTAAACCTTATTTGTATCCATTATCTAGAATGGAAGATTGTAAGGTCAGGTAGGTTCAGCAAAATTTGTGAGTATATTTTATCTTTTCAAAGTTTACTGGAAGGTCCCCCTCACCAAAAGGGCTAGAGAAATTTTGGCCTTCATCACTCCCATGTATTTCTACATTGATTGTGTTGATGCTGGTATTAGTGGTTGCCATGTGGCTGTCTGTGATCCCCTGCATTACTCCACCAAAGTCACTCAAAGAAGAGTTCAAGTCTGTGTTTGCCTGTGTTGGACAGGTTATGTGGTCTTTGTAAGTCTGGTGCTGAAGGTAAACCTTGAACAACCAGAAAGTTATATTTCTTTGCTCTGTTGAGTGTATGGTTGTCAGCAATTACATTGCTGGGCTTGCTGATCGGGTTTTGTGCTTTTTTGTTCTGTCACTGTCATCATAGCTCTGTATCTGAGAGTATTTGTGGTGGCAGTGTCACTTGTTTGTATATGAGCCAGGATTTGTTCAAGGTTTCTAAGTGTTAAAAATAAGGTATTCCTTGCAACTGTCTCCAAGTGCTGGTTCATGGGGAAATATTGGATCTCTCTTATTATGAAGAGCATGGTCTAGACCTGCTCTATATGAAAAGTGCCCTGAGGTAACTTCTGTTATGATTCGGTGCTATATAAATAAAATTAAATTGAAATGGTCTTCCCCAAACTGTTGCAAACACACTATTGACTAAAACACTTCTCTAGCATAAATACCTTCCTTGTAATAACCAAGTATCCTATTCCAAACCATGAACCACAATACTTTGGATTTTGATATCCCAAGGAATCCTCCTCCAACAACTTAAGACTAAATTGCCAAGTTTTACAGAGAAAACACAAATTGTCAAGAACAGATGAGAAGAGTTTGCAGAAAAACTCTCCTCCCTGCAAGTACATTTAGGCAACCCTTTCCATTTTTATATGACTAACTGTAGGGACAAAATAGATCCAGCAATACATACTGTTACTTGTGTTGTTGTCAAATCATATATTTTAAATTTTAATGAATTACACTGTGATTCCAACTCCTTTGCTTGATGAAACACATTTTTTTCTAGCACCACACTCAAGACCACAGCCTTTTTTTATGTGACCCACCAGTGGTAAAATATTATGTTCTTGTTCTCCTTGTTCTTGTTAGGTAGAAACTGATGTATTTTAATTATTTTTTCTCTCTGTGGGTACACACTGTGCTCCATCAATCCTCCATCAAAAATGTTAATAATTGCATTGCAAGCAAAAACATTTCTTGCTCTAAGTGAAATTAATAAACATCTTATAAGTCAGTAACCTAAGAAGATTGAAGTTTTGCATTTAAAGCAATTACCTTTTTATGGACAATTGACAGATGTTAACAGTCTAAAGTGTAATGTAAGTAAACTCTTATTTTCTTTTCGTTTGAATTAATAATGAAGTGTAGAATTGAAATACTCTCCGTGAAAATGTAGAGTTAGGATGTTTTTAATGTCAACAAATCTTTACAAGCCTGTCTAATTTTTGACAGTTTAAGACCATACATGACTGGATTTTGAAGAGGCTGAATGATCACTACATACATAGACAAGACAACACAGAGAGGATATGGAACTGACTTAAATCTCTGAGAGATCAAACTATAAAAACAGGCAAAGACAAAGCTAATGATAGAAACTAAGTGTGGAGTGCAGGTATCCAAGGCCTTCATTTTGGTCTCTTTGGAACCTTTTAAACACACACGCAAAATTTTTATATAACTGTATGTAATGTAACTGACAGGACCAGCAACAGTGATAATAAGGCCAAAAACCAGATCATGGACGACTGACACTGTTCTGTCTGGTGAACAAGAAAGTTCAACTACAAGGTGATGTGCACAAAACACTTTGTTGATAACAGTCCGACAACGCTTCATACGAATAGTGAAAGACAATAAAACTCCAACGTCTACAAAAGCAGTAATCCAGATAGCAAGTATGACAGTTTGTACTTTCCTTTTAGTCATTATGGCATTGTAATGTAAAGGCTTACAAATACAAACATATCTATCATATGCCATTATTGTCAATGTTCCAAATTCAATACCTACGTATGTATGAATGTTAAATATTTGAAGGAAGCAGTAAAAGGCAGAAATTTTATGAGTGTCTGATAAGATTTGTGCCATCAAACAGGGAAGCATAGACGTGCTGCCATATATTTCATTAATGAATAAACTACACAGAAATAGATACATGGGCTCATGCAAATTTCTGTCCAAATAGATAATGGTAATAAGAAAAGTGTTGGCTAAAATAACTGATACGTAAAATAGCAGTGCTAGAGTGAAATACAAGTACTTTAACTGTCCCATGTTCCCATACATAGCAAACACAAATGACGAAATCTCTGTTGAGTTTTCCATTGGCCTAGTAATAAAGCACAAGAATACTGTTAAAATCCAAGTGCTTCAAGATTAAATGAAGAAAACTACTAAAACATATTTCTTACTTTAAGAATATCTGAAACCCTGAACAAGATAAACAGCTATGATATAGTAATGTAAATGTATAAAAGTATGGTTCTATTTTATTGATTCACTCATTTCTATTTCATTAATTTATCTACTAGCAAGTGTGATATTTTTAGAAGATATTATATATCAAAACATAAAGAAAAGCCGTTATTATAAGAACCATTAAAAAAAAGATCACATAAATCAATGTTTGTAAGACCCGCTTCCAAAAATTTATGACATTTTGTGAACTATGTAATTGCAATTTTGAATATACCATGTTGCCATATATGTCATATCAAAACAGAGTCAGACAAGTGGATGATCAATAGAAAACTGTAGACTGCAGTAACCTCCTCTCCCTACTGAGACCAATGGAAGCAGTTGCTAAACCTTTATACTGCTGTTCAGGCAAGAGAACATGACAAGCATAACGTAATGCCAATTGAGAGTCAAGTTCAAGTCAAGTTCAAGTTCTAAAAGCTGAGTTCTGATTCCTAAATAAATAAGATTTGTCTGTAGTCTTCACCACATTAAATGGAAAAAATAACCAAATATCGTAAAAATTTAATAATAGAAATGAAACCGCTGGCATATGGGCCTACTATCCATAAGGATAGGCATAAGTGATGCTAGTGCGATGTCAGTTGGGCAGCAGTCTGAGGAAGGGGCATTGGCCTCTATGCAAGGTGCTGGAGGCCTTAGGCCAGGAACACACTGGCTGCATGGTGTGTGCATGGCTGCTGCAGAACGCCATTTTTTAAATTTATTTCGACACCCATGTTAACCGGTCAGAGTGGACACAATGCCTGCCTGACATGCATCAAACTCCCCTTAAAAAATAAATGAAATAATAAAAACTGCTTTCAGTCACGTGCCTCCGGCCGTCCGACTAACGTTTGTCCATGTTCATTCAAAGCGAAGCTAGCAATATGAGTGACATGAGTGAAAACACTGAGCCTTAACCCAAGCAGCTTATACCTTAAAAAGTATGCCATTCGTCATTTGGGCACATTTTGGTTTCAGTGAAGACGTCACTGAACAGAAAGCGGTGAAATGTAAACACTGCAAAAAACAATTTCAGCTAAGGTAACACCAATCATTTATCAAATCTCTTGGAACATAATCATATTGCCGAACATGATGAGTGCATGGCTCAAAAAAACTGAGAAACCAATAAGCGTCAAAGTAATTAATCATAATCGATTTGAAGTCATTGAAGTCAGCCCTAGTTTATTTTGGAGGTGGATGCTTCAGACACTGAGGTTTCCCAGCATGCAGCTCCTGATCAAAAACATTCTTCATCCTTCATCCTTGCTCTACCTGGTTCACCTATTATCTTGGTCCGTACCATTGACCTCCTGAAAGGCAACTTTTGGTGGCCAACTCTGGGCACAGACATCCGTGACAGCATCTCCACCTGTTCAATGTGCACCCATGGAAAGACTTTCAAATGTTCGTCTGACATCTCATCGACCCCTGCCTGTACCCAGGTGTCATTGGTCCCATGTTGCACTCAACTTTGTCACTGGACTGTCTCCCTCTCAAGGTAACACCGTCACTCTTACCATGGTGGACCGAAGCGTTTTCTGGCTGTCCCCAAACTCCCCAAGTTCTGAAAGACTGTTAATGTCCTGGTCAATCTGCATGCCTTTTTGTCATGCTCTTGGTGTCGCTGTGAGTTTGTCTTCTGGTTTCCCTCAGACTAATAGGCAGGTGGAG